GAAGAAGAAGAAGAAGAAGAAGAAGAAGAAGAAGAAGAAGAAGAAGAAGAAGAAGAAGAAGAAGAAGAAGAAGAAGAAGAAGAAGGAGAGAAAGACAGAACGGGAGAGCGAGAAGTGGTGGGGGAAGGGATAAATGATAATATAAAAAAGGGGTGAATATTAGAGGTGATATTAAGAAGCAACAAACAAAGAAACAAGCAAAACAAACAAACAAACAAAATAGAGATAAAGACGACAGATATTTCATAGGAAAGGAGGAGAGAAAGGAAGCTATAGATGTGTATAGAGGAAAGTTGAAGGATGATAGAGAGAAGGACGATACATGTACATGTTTGATAGGAAAGATGGAGGTGAGAAAAGGACGAAGATGCTAATCCACACAACCAGAGCACCCACCGGCCACCCCCACACTCTATGGAGGAGTAAGCTCATGTAAGTCACATTCGGGCCGAAGAAGAAAGTAGTCACAACACCAGCCAATGACGTCAGCAGATTCACAAAGAACACCATAGAGATCTATCACTATCATCATTGTAGGCCTATGAATGTAATCCGTATAGTCATGAAAACACTGAATGAAGTAATAATGAGGAGCGACTATCTCAACAAATACAATAAAGAAGAGACCTCCCTGATCCTAACCCTAGCCCTGATCTGCCCTAACCTAGGCTTTCTCAGACTGAGAAGGCCTAGGCCCTAACCCAAACCCAAACCCTAACCATCTAGGCTTACCACTTGCCTTGCCCTCGCCCTAACCCAAACCCTAACCCCAACACAAACCCTAATCCCAGCCTTCTTAAACTAACCCACTGTCTATTAAAGTACAGTGGTTGCCCGTTACGGAATTCCTCCCCTAATAATATTATTATTAATAATAACAATAATATATCATGTACACGGCGCTAATTCCCGCCCAACAGCAAAGATCTATTCCCCCCAGCAGCAGACCGGAAGAAAGCATTCTGAAACAATCTCACCTTCCTGGAAAGTATACGCCTTCCCTACACTGCAACTTTGTGCAAGCTGTAATTTGTATAGATGTAGTAAAACGCTAATTTACTGACAAACTCGTTCACTGTCTAGAGGAATAGACCTACACAATACACAGTGCACAAACACACAATTCACAGTACATGTATTTAATGAGGTAGATCTACCTTTGGCAAGATACTTAATAGAGCCTACACTATACACAGTACGTCATATGCATAATCCACAGTACGACGTGGTTCTAGAATCTAGTTAAATTATTGGTAAGACCTTCCTTGAGCAAATAAATACATAGAACACAATACACAGTTCATAGCAGCCTACATGTGATAGATCTGTCTTCTGCAATGCAATGCACAATATCAATACACGATACACACAGTACAAAAGTAACCGGAGCGAGAGTTGGTTATAAGAGAACCTCTGAGGGAGGATGAGGATTACGCACAAAGACACACATACGCACGCACACACACTGCTCGTGCCCCGTCGCGCCAACCACTTGCCACTTGGACTGTGGTGGGCATGTGTGTGTGTGTGCGTCGTGCGTGCGTGCGTGAGGAGAGAGGTTGGAGACGCGAAACTTCCTCGACGCTTCAAAGCGTGAAAACGCTAGCCTATTCATGCATGCTATTCGAATATCGTGTGTGATGTAGGTTGGAAAAATTATTTTTGTTCTTTAATTTTTGGCTTTTTTAGAAGGGGCAACAAACGTGACAATATGAAAGAGCTTCTATTCAAAGCCGTGTTATCTGTAGGCCCTACGGATTTTCACCTGCCTAAACTTTTTCAACCTGCCGTAGAGCCGTATAATTATATCCAAATTTATCTGTGTACGGTTTCTGTGATTATGGAATAGCGAATGTTTCTGATGGAGTTAAGAAATTTTGAGGATAAAAAACCCCCAACAAAAGTAAAAACAAGAACAAAACCAAAAAATAATTATTTCTTTTTTTGCACACGGTATTCGAGTAACGCGAAGAGCTACTCTGGTTCACCCTTCGAAGCGTCGAGGAAGTTTATTTTCCTCCGAACTCCGAATCACACAAAACTGTCCTGAGGTTCCCAGAGGACAATGAGAATTTACTGTTTCTCCCAGGGACGACGTGTGACGAGGGTATTTGACCTCAAGACGACACACATAAACGCACACACGTACGCGCGCGTACACACACACATACATACAAACACACACACACACACACACACACACACACACACACACACACACACTCACTCACACCCTACCCTTCGTCCCACCCTCCTTCTCACACACAGTCTCTTTCACACACACAATACACATACACGAAACACACTCATAGCCCCCTACTCGCTTTGACGGACAGACACA